AGCTGTTTCCTCAGATCGAGGAGGTGATGGTTCAGCCACTCAGAGAATCACGAGACAGATATGAAGAACTCAAACAGATTGATGATGCCATGAATGAGGTCTGGCCTCCAGAAATGCCTTATTTTGCTCAATAAATCTCTTCCCTTTCTTTTGATATCTGTTGCTCATCTTCATTCTTTCCTTACAGGTCCAAAAGAAGAAGAGTGAGAACCTCACCATGGGAGGGAAAAAGAAATGAGGTGAGTGTTCAGCAGCAGTGTTAAACTTTACAGCCCCTAAACACCACCAATGACACACCAATCTCAGTAAATCCATATTGAAACCTGATTTATGAATATTTATAACAGTTCGTGTCATGGCTTCCGACAATTTGATTTATTCTGACAGGCCTTTCTGTTTAAGTGGTTGTATTTACAGCTGAGTGAGAAAGTTTGCACCCTCCCTCGTTTCCGAATGAGGAAAGAGGGGAAATGTCAGTCTATTTTACAATTTTATCTATAAATCTAAAAAAATTCCAAGGTGCTGAAATAAAATATAAAATCTTAACTCATCTAAAATATCACCAATACATCTGGAGAAAATAGTCACAAACATTTACACTGAACTTTTGTAAATTATGTAAAATTAGGCAAAATCAACAGGAAAAAAATGAAAAGAACCAAAGTTTGAAAAATAAATTTGCCAGTTGAGTTTGAACAGAATATTTCAAAAAGAACAAGGACACAAAAGTTGTTCCACAAACATTAAATGAACAAAATGTACAGTCATTTTTTAATTAATAAAAAAAATCTATGGCAAACTTCAGTTGTATAAGAGGAATAAAAACTCTGTCATTCATTATTTTCCTATAACAGCACACCCTGTTGCATTTTATTCCTTTCTATATGAGCATTTGTGTGTGTGTGTGTGTGTGTGTGTGTGTGTGTGTGTGGTTTTTCTTTTCCAGTTGGGAGAAGCTGCTGATTCTGAATCCGGATCCTGTAGGTTGGAAAGCTGATGAATGTAGAGTGACATGCTGGAAAACTTCCCAGACAATCCAAAGCCTCTTTCAGGGAATGTGAATCGTGATCAGTGCACACACAAGACACCTGACATTATTCTATAGATATTATTCTCTATTTGCCTTGTTTTTATTTGGTTTTATATATATAAGATATATTATTCAGATTGTACAGATTTTTAGTCACTTGTCCTTTATTACAAAAATAAAAAGTTTTAAGTACAAGATTTTGTCACATGATACTTTAGGGTAAACTTTGTGGCTGTTCTTATGCATTGCTAGTTCTTTATTTCTAACGTCAAATGCTTTACCAGTGTTTTGATAAAGACTATCTCAGTCGAGACCAAAAAAATGACCAAGATCCACTGCTGATCGAGTCCAAAACTAACGAATGCAAGACCAAGATCACAGAACCAGCTCGTATCTCCTTTTTGTGTTGGGCTTGAGCAGGCAGAGAGGGGGCGGATAAAGATCTGTTTAAAAAACAAAACAATACAAAAAAAAAAAAAACGTATATTGGTGGACAAGCTACAGTAAGAATACAACAAGCAAAAGTCCAGTGTGACCACTACTTAATAAGCAGCTCATCCTTTTTTTTTTTTTTACCAACCAAAGACACCACAATCTTGCCTTCTCTGTTGGCTCAGGAAAATAAGGTTTGCAAATTCACAGGTCAAAGTTCACCAAGGTAATGTCAGCTTGATGTGAAAGCGCCCTCAGAAGCAAAGGAGCATGTACTTTCCCCTTCAGTGAATTGGCTTCCCTGATGGCTGAATTTCATTTGCATTCTGTCTGACGGCTGCTTTAGTTTTTTTCCCATTTCTGTTTTTAAAAACTATTAAATATTTAATGACAGATCGTTTTAAAATGTATATACATGTTTGATTTGTGGTATAATCATCTTTATGTTAACCATATTTCAGACTGATGAATTATGACGGTCATGAGCTAGAGTCATGAGCTAAAATTGAGATAAAATGGGCTTGAGACTGAGATAAAACCAAAATCAAGGGTCTCGACAACCACAACCCTGCTTCACTCTCTTACAAACAACAAAAAAGCTTCATACTTCAGAAGAATTATTTTTGTTGAAATCTATAACAACCATTGAATCAGTGTTTAAATGGTAGGAATGATGTCACAGGATAACAGCTCCCATGACCTGTTTGTTGTGTAATTCACTACATACTGAGATTTCACAAGTGGTGAGTGTGAAGTGAGCCTTTTAATCAAGTGTGTAGGCGCCACAATGAAAATATGGTTATGTCATCTAGCTCTTCTGGTCTGTTTTATAACAGGTGCGCACTCGGTCTGTTCAACATGCTGCCACTGTATACTAGGTATAAAAAAAAACCACCAGACAAAGATAAGCGGTACAGAGAACGGATGGATGGATGGATGGAACAGTAACATCATATAATGGAGCTGAACCCGAATGTTCAAGATGGGTAGCTTTTCCACTAGCTCCACCTGTTGGATAAATCCTGTAACACTTCGCTTTAACTGGTGCTACTATACCCTCAAAACTTAAAATTCAAATGTTACATAATCCTCAATGAGTTTCAGTGATTACATTTTTAATGTATATTTTATACATTTGCAGTTTGCATTGTTGGTTAAAAAAGGAAAATATTAAGAAACTGTGCTTGAATGTGACTGGATTCAGCTTCAGGGCCAAAAATATTTTACACACAGTACAGGAAACAAAAAGCATTTATTTTAAAATTCATTTTCAATCTTTCAGTTTTTGTGCATTTCCAAAAATATAATACATAAATGTGAAATACAGGATGAAATCTGAATGGAGAGGAATGTCCACCAATACACTGACCGTCTAATAAAAACCTAAATATGCTGCGTCTCTCCCAGGTTCCCAGGTTCTAGCTCTCCGAGCTGCATTTCTGAGAAACATCTCCGCTTTTATTCTCCGACTTGCTTTTCTTTGCTGCCCCGTTCGACTGCCGTGCTGCTCTCTTCTTTCCTCCCTGCTGATTCTGCTGCTGCAGTCGTTCCTTTTTCTTCTGTAAATACGATGCCATGTTGTCGAAGTTCACCTTGTAGAGGTGATGGAACTGACTCTCCACACCGATGGAGGCTGAGATGGAAAAGAAGAATAGAAACAAACGAAAAAATTTTTGCTTATTTGGTATATAAATATAAAATAAAAAATATCAGTTAATACAAGTGTCAGTGTTTTAATATTACTTATAATGTATTAATGCTGAAGTTCATGGTTTGTTTTTTAAAATAAGGAGTAAAACACAATGGGGCATGTTGTTATAGGACAATAATCTATATAAAACAAAAATAATTCATGTCAGTTTAGGGAACCTTGATGTAAAGCATTACCATGATGCACCTCACCTTTGAAGAGCTCCCACTGGGTATGCAGTGTTTCTGATACTCTATGCAGATCAGGGCTTTCTGACTCACTCTGCACCACACACACACACACACACAGTCAGAATGCTGTAACCAAGCCAACTTCAAAAGTTAAGTGTCAGGATTCCAACTGTTTTTGGGAAATTATTTTCCAGCATATTCTGTTAACAGCTGTTCACAGAAAATCTCTGACCTTAGATAGCAAAATGTCAAACCTTTGCAAACTTGGTAAAGAAAGATTTCTAATATATGGAACAACAACCTACTGTTAAGAAATGTCCTATTTATCAATGAGACATTCATGCATTTTAAATGTGACTTATGTGACTTACATTTCCATTAGTAACATCGGAAAAATAAACATCTAACATTATATTAATATAATAATATTAATATATATATGTATAAAAAAAATAATATATAAAACTAGCTTACTGGTTTTTCATGTTTTGCATGTGAAAACCGTGTGTGTGTGTGTGTGTATATACAGATACGTACCTGCCAGCGCTCCTCTGTGTGTGTGTACAGAAGTACATTTGTGTCCTTGTTCTCCAGTAAGATCCAGAGCCGACCTTGAGGGTCAAAGGTCATATCCCAGGGATTTTGAGGCAGAGCGAGTGTCTCAGACAGAGTCAAACGTCCGTCTGATCCTTCCTCTACTGCAAACAGCTGAATGGAGGGAAAACTTTAATGAAATAGAGACAAAAGAATTGTTACAGTTAACAGATGCACACCAATTCTGGTTAATCTGTCATCATGGATTGTGTTTTCATGCACACTAATAATCTGATTATGATCTGATTTCAGCAGTTAATGTTAAACAAGCAGTCGTATTATGATATAAGAAATACAGAGGCACTCAAATTAAAATAATCAGGTTATTTAGGACATATACACAGATTTTTTTTAAAATTTATAAATATTTACTTAAAAAAAAAAAAAAAAAAAAAGAACTACCACCTCGCTATCTAAAGATTTTATTAGACTAATAGCAATGCTACTAAAAGAAATCTGATTACTGAGTGACACAGACCTTGAGATTTCCCATTATCAGATCACTTATGATTGATTTATTTATTTATTTTTCAAAAATCTGATTTTCTTACACTATTAGATTTTTCTGTTCAAATAAATACAGTTGTGTGCATATTTGTTTCTATGGTTAGTATACACATTTAATTTAGCATGATACTCCTATATGTTTTGAGTAAAGCGATACACACCTCTCACACTGCACAGCTACATGGCGTCCGTCTGGCGAGCTGATGATCCGACTCACGGCAAACCTCAGTGGCTAAAGATCACAACAGGACAAAGTCATACTGAAGTACTGGTATTGACAGTATTGGTGCAGTTGATCACTGTAAGCAGTAGCAGTGTCATTAGCGATGTTTTTTTTCACCTTTTCAGTGTCCGTATCAGAGCTCTGTGTAACACCATGCTGCTGCAGGTCGATGCTCTGTAACCGCCGACCGGACTCATAATGCCAAAGCTTCATGGTGCCGTCCTGCCAATGCACAAAAAAAAAAAAAAAAAAAAAAAAACCACTTAAATAGGAAAATATACTTTTGGTAGAGCACTTGCTTAATAGTTTTTCTTATTTTTTTGCTTTTCGGGGGTCACGGTGGCTTAGTGGTTAGAACTTCTGCCTCAACCCCTGGGGTTGGGGGTTTGATTCCCTCCTCAGCCCTGTGCACTGGAGCTTGCATGTTCTCCTCGTGCTTAGGGGTTTCCTCCTGGTACTCCGGTTTCCTCCCCCAGTCCAAAGACATGCATTATAGGCTGTTTCGCATCTCTAAATTGTCTGTAGTGTGTGAATGGGTGTGTGTGTGTGCAATTGTGCCCTGCAATGGGTTGGCACCCCATCCAGGGTGTCCCCCGCCTTGTGCCCCGAGATCCCTGGGATAAGCTCCAAGCTGCCCACGACCACGTGTAAGATAAACGGTACAGAGAATGGATGGATGGATGGATTTATTTGCTTTTGTGTATTATTGTTTGGCTGTGGCATTGGACTTCTGATCGGAAGTTTGTGAGTTCAAATCCCAGCGCTGCCACTGCTGGGCCCTTGAGCAAGGCCCTTAACCCTCAACTGCTCAGCTGTATAAATGAGATAAATGTAAGTCGCTCTGGATAAGGGCGTCTGCCAAATGCCTTAAATGTAAATGTAATGCTGATTAAAATGTCATAAAACAAAACCAGGTGTTCAAATACATTTGACTGCAAAGATATCTGTTATATATAACTTTAGTTTTTATGTTCTGTTCATGTCAAAATGGCCATTTTAGAATGTTCATTCATTCAGTCATTCATTCATTCAAGTCAGTTGCTTTATCCTGGTCAGGGTGTGAGGCGGGAATACGCCCTCGATGGGACCCCCAGTACATCAGAGGGCACCACGCACACACATTCACACACTCATTCACACCTACAGGCAATTTATATTAGCCAATCCACATACTAACATGTTACTGAAGAACCCAGAGGAAACCCACACAGACACAGGGAGAGCACATGAACCTCCACACAGACAGTAACTCCAGCTCAGGATCGAACCAGGGACCCTGGAGCTGTAAGGCGGCAACGTTACCTACTTAATTTTTACATTGTTTTTGCCTTAGTTTCTAGAAGGCACTGTTTCTTAATACAAAACAAGACAGTGATTAAATTCCCAGTGACATTTCCTCAATCATTTGTTTAAACAAATATTTGATTCTTACCCCTGAGCCTGAGAGGAGCCATTCAGGATGTCCAGCTGGAACACACAGAGCACTGACAAACCTGCAAGAGAAAACAAGAAAGGTACATAACTGAAAAAACAGTCAGCTTGTGCATCGGTGTATTCATTACTGCTTTTTTTTTTAATCCAGCTCTTTAACCAATAACTATAATTTATCATACCATATATTACATGGATTTAAAAAAACAGGTCTTAATTGGATTATATTTTTGATAAAAGATATTTAAAAAAATGACTCTTATGTGCTTACTCTGTGTGTCCCAAACAGAAGGCCTGGATGTTGTACGGGGATCTGCAAAGGCTCACTCTGATCTTCTCATCTCTGTCTGCTGTGATGATGTACTTATCATCTGGAGATAGAGTCTGGAGAAAAGAAAAGAATGTGGGACATTCAAGCAAATAACACACAAGATATCCTCAGGATAAGTCTGGATGCACTACAAGCACTGCTTTTTACACTTAAAGTGCTAGACTTTGTTCTGTAACGTATGTAACAACAATTTTTTAAATATTAATTCATTTAATTCTCTTTCTGTTTTCTGAAAGAAAAAAGTTAAATTCATGGCAGTGTTGTTAAAAAGACTCTAACAATCTTTCAAAACAACAATGTGGATGTAAAAAATGGACAAAATGCTGTATGTCTATCTGTATCTGTCCATCTATAAATTATAGATCTGTTATGTAAAGAATAAAAAAAAGGGGTATGATACTAAAGGAAAATAATCAATATATCATGGTGTGATTCAGCCTGTTACAAGGCAGTGATAGGGTTACCACTCCAAAGTTGATTATTTTCCTATAACAGCTTGACCCAAAGTGTTATACTCCTCTTATACCACAGCAATTCACTGACGATTACAAATTTTTATTTATTAAAGCAAGACAAGGTTTTTGATTCATTTATAGTTGTAGTTCCTGCTCTGGCTTACATTACAGCAGCTGTAAACAGCTGTTCCCTCACCAGCTTCGCCTTTTTTCCTCTTTTGAAGTTAATAAGAATCAAATAAATGATACAAAATTAATAAAATGCAACTTGTCACGTTCTCAAGAAGCAAAACAAAAAGTCATCTGTCCTCGAAGCTGGAACTACTGTCAATACTGCTGAAAATTAATCAACACCTTCTGACCAGTCAGATTTGAGAATTCAGTAGTGCTGTGGTACAAATGCAATAAAAACCAAAATCTGATTTTTGTCAAAAATCTAGAATAGTTATAATATCAGTGTTATGATTTAGTAAAGGTTAACACCATACAAAAAACAAACAAAAAAAAGCAAATATCTCTATATGGTTGCTAGAATGTATTTAAAAAGTATATTAACAGTTTCTCCAAGCAAAAAATTTAATTGTTATGGTGCTACTAAGTCTAGCAAATCTTATCAAGAAATGAAAATCTTCATGATCAGTTAAATTAAAGCCAGGTGTATTAGATCCTGAATGGAACAAAACTTTACAGGAAGGCAGATCTTCAGAGCATGAATGTGTCTCTGTTCTAATAAACTATAATAAAATATGCCTTAAAAAAAAAAAAAAAAAAACACTTACAATGCCCAGTAGCATGGAGAGATGACCCAGCTTCAGCTCACCCAGCTTCTGTGGCTCCAGAACAGAGAATGAATATACATCTCCAGATTTATCCGCCACAAACAGTTCATCCTCGGCCTGACTGAACACCAGAGAGGTACACCTGCGCACCACCCACCTGAAGAGCAGAAATATCCCTATTCACTCTTAAACCAAATCCTCTGATCACACGCCTCAGATACAGAACGGCTGCCGATACCTTGTGCTGATGCACTGCCATGACGGTTGGGTGCGAAACAGAATCAGTCTTTTGTTGTCATCCGTCAGAGCAGCGTACTTTCCCGATGCTGACAAGGCGAGAGCGAGAATCTGGTCACTTCCTTTCTCCTGAGAACCTCCACCATCACTGTAAAGGGTGAAGCGCTAAACATGAGAATAAACTCTATTCTGCTAAATCAGTTCAGGTTCTGTGTGCTGGTTATACAATTTTCCTATCAGGAATAATGCAAGGATGTAAAATTTAATTCTATGGAAGCAGAAAATAAAGCTTGTGATACTTACAGATATTTTCATGATACACTATATCTATCATGATACATAGTATTGCTGTTTTTTTTTTTTTGCATAACAAAACAGTAAAGCAGTGTTTAAAAAAAAAAAAAAGTTTGCCAGATCATGGAAAACTAACTGTTTACAGGTTTTTTTTTAACATTACATTTTTTTAATCATGTAAACAAGGGAAAATTAAATGATTGGTACATTTTAACATCCAATCAGTTACTTCTTACAGTGATTTATAACAGAGTTCAAAAGTATTGGCACCTCAATAGCAATGTCATACTGGAAACACAAGTGTGGTTAGTTACCTTTTGTCAGTTTCAGCTTCCTTTGGTTTCGGCTCTGCTTTAGTGCAGTCAAACACAAATGGTTCCCTTTATTAAAAACACAAAATCACCTTTATTTACAGGATAATCAACATAATCCAGCATGCACTATTTAATCTAGGAAAACATGCACAACTTTGATCATCTCTGACATCCAGTTTCTGCTTGTGGCTTTGGTCCCTGACCTGAAACATCTGATTCAACTCTGATCAACTGATTATTTAATCAAATCTCAATAAAAACATTCAATACTTTTTCATGTTTAAGTAGAGTAACGCAACTTGGATCTACAACCAACAATGAACTGCTATGATTTCTGCCAATTGGTAAAATCAGTCATGCTCATCACCAGTAGGAAGATGAAATCAAATTAATTACCCACTTGTACGAGCAGATTTTACTCTCCTTTTTACGCTTCTCACTGAGACTCTATCTACACTGAGTATCTACTCTAACACACGTGAATCTAAAGGGACGCTGTGTGAAATAATATACAGCATGAAACTTCAGACCTGTTCTCTTTGATATTCACAGCTATTAAATAATGCGAGCTGCTCATCACCAGCCATTCTCCCGCACAGCACACAGCAGCCATGATTGCTACCACTCACGTGGGACAACCCGGTCGCATTATTAACACGTCATCCATATGAATGGCATGACTTGCGCTGTGATTGGTCCGTGGTCGCTATGGTCACCATACACGTCTCAAATATACATTAGAGAGATACATTCTGAGTCTGTGCAGCCATTAATATTTATGTTTATAAACTCACACTGATAAATTTAAAAGAATATAAACACTCAGAAATATTAGTAATATTAATATCAGAACAGAATTGAATACTACTGAATAGTCAAACGGAGAAAAGATTCAAGACACTTTGACACCTTTGCAGAGAAGTTACAGTGGGATAAACCACTTTATTTTACTTTGATAGATCTTTTTTAAAAAATACAACCTGTTTTGTCACTACTTTTTTAGCGACTAAGCAAATAAACAAACTAATGAACCACCGACCAATCAGAGCGCAGCGGACTGTACAAGTGGGCGTGGTTTTGTCGAAAACGCATTGAAGAAAACAACACTGCCTTTACCACGTCACTCAGGTTGCCAGGTCTGTAAATTCTCAGCGGAAGACTCTGATTGGCGGTTGGGAGTTTATACTGTATAAGGCAGGACTTCTCAAACTTTTTGCAGCCAGAAACCCGTTTAACTGTAAAATAAGTTTCATGAACCCCCATTAGTACTGACTTATTTTAATGAACATTATTTAACAATGTCAAATAATATTTTCTATTCCTGAAGTTTCCACCACTAGAACACATTAGGTCTGAACACATTATTATAACTATAATAATTCTACCACTGTAACAAAATAAAAAACTCACAAAGTTTCTGGCTATGATTTACAGACCCCTGGGGGTCCCTGGACCACACTTTGAGAACCACTGATATCATTTGGGGCATGCTGTTATAGGAAAATAATCACTGACTGTCTGGTGTAATGTGGCCTGATGTAAACTACTACCATCCCGAAGCTGA